GCCGTTATGAGTAAAAAATACGCCAATTTTTTAAATTCACAATCTCTTTTAAACATAGAATCAATGAGTTCCAAGGCGGAAAAGAACAGTATTTATTTATATTAGAACGTTTTTCGTAACAATGTAGAAGCCTTTAAAAGTACACAGTAAAAAAATTACAAGAAAGGTACAAAGCTTTCACTGGGGCTGTACCTTATTTTTACATCTTTGTATCTCATTTAGCCATAAATGGTACATATTTGTGTCTTAAATGTGCATACTAATACTGTAAAAGTTCATATTAGTACCTTTTGAAAGACTGACAGTTTTGTACCTAATTGTTGTTTCAAGGTTAACAAGGATATTTATCCATATTTGTTTGCTTTGTGGTAAATTATAATGCATAAACAGTGCAAACGTGTTAAAAAGTATGATCATCATTTTGGATTTCATTGCCACGGTTGATGCACCACTGGGTACAGTTAAAACACCCTTTTACCCTCCATGTGGGAAAGTCTCTTGAATATAAAAACTTTTTTTTTAAACATTTGTATAAACTTGTATGTATTGTCAATGGGAATATTAACTGATTCTGTACTGTAAAACTCAATGGTGTATGCAGCTGTCTGCATCCTTCTGAACAACTATACAGAATGTACATCTTTCAATCTCACAGTCTTCTTGTAGTAAACTACACATTAATGTTTCCATTTATTATTATTATTATACGTTTATCCAGTGATTTACATGAGAATAATGCACACAGAACTCATTCATTCAAGAAAGAAAACAACACTAATGCTACCTGTATTTTTTTTTTAAGAAATAAACTTATTTGTTTGCTTTGTGGTAAATTATAATGCATAAACAGTGCAAACGTGTTAAAAAGTATGATCATCATTTTGGATTTCATTGCCACGGTTGATGCACCACTGGGTACAGTTAAAACACCCTTTTACCCTCCATGTGGGAAAGTCTCTTGAATATAAAAACATTTTTTTTAAACATTTGTATAAACTTGTATGTATTGTCAATGGGAATATTAACTGATTCTGTACTGTAAAACTCAATGGTGTATGCAGCTGTCTGCATCCTTCTGAACAACTATACAGAATGTACATCTTTCAATCTCACAGTCTTCTTGTAGTAAACTACACATTAATGTTTCCATTTATTATTATTATACGTTTATCCAGTGATTTACATGAGAATAACGCACACAGAACTCATTCAAGAAAGAAAACAACACTACTGCTACCTGTATTTTTATTTTAGAATTTAAACTTTATTCAGCAAGGATGCATTAAATTGATCAAAAGTGACAGTAAAGACATGTTACAAAAGATCTCTATTTCAAATAAATGCTGTTTTTCTTCACTTTCGGTTCACTAAAGTCTATCATGGTTTACAAAAATATTAAGCAGCACATGTATTATGTATTTATATTGTAAAATCAACCATTTTTGCAAAGTAAACAGAATACAGATGGTAATATTACACAATAATTTGACCATAGTAGTTGCTCTATGTAGTAAACATGAAAAAAAACCAACTAAATCCTAAAAATTCTCTTTTTTAACTTTACATAAGGGTACAATATGGGATCATGAATATAATACAAAGTTTCATTAAAAACTATTTAGCAACTCAATCTAAATATGACTGCAGAGTGTTAAAAATTCTCCTGAATAAACATGTTTATTGTTCCCTCTATAGTTTTTTTCAAAAACAGAGTACAGTGTACTCTGGGACAAATTGCCTGACCAATGTTTTTGTATTTAGACATTTATACTAGGACTTGGAAACAAGAGCAACCTGGTTCAAGTTCTAGATGAGACTCTGAGATGTTTTCTTCCTCCCCTATTCAGGTCTTTTGTAGATAGTTTCTCCATTGCCCTCTTTCATTGCAGCATATCTAGCCACAGTGAACAAGTAGTCACTCAATCTGTTAAAGCAAACAGTGTTCATTGATAACACTTAGATCAATAAATGAAATACAATTCTCAAAAGAACTCATTGAATAAAATTCACAGATCCAAATTAAATATTATATATAGTGACTAACAGTTAGAATAGGTTCATACCTGTTCAGATATTTGGCAACTTCAGGATCTGTCTCACCCGAACGGACAACAGCGGCAACACTGTAATAGATAATGTAAGACCTTTGATACTGACACAGCGGTAAGGTAATACAAGTAGAACTGATATTGAATATTGCGTATGCCAGACTGACCAGCGTTCAGCCCGTCGACACGCTGCTCTGGCCACATGTAAAGCTGCACTGCTTTTCCCTCCCGACTGCAAATTAAATGGCTTTCCTTCAGTACTTTAAATGCAGAATTATTTGTCATCAACATGTTTGTAGCAACCCAAATCGGATACAATTCTCTATGTAAATTATATCAGTATTTCAGGTACTCTGTGGAGATTATGTAATCATATATATTTCTGGAACATACATACAGGAAGTATGAAGTTGGTGAGTGGAGGCAGCTCCTCTGTGAACGAATCAATCCACCTCTCCAGCTCAATCACAGCCTGGGAGCTGAACTTCGTCTTCTCTGTTTGAAACAAGAACATCATAACATGGTTTACTACTTTTCTTTACGATAAAAACACATTAGAAATGTCCTGTGATTCTGCTTACTGATATGACTGTCTCTAGCTGATGACCGGGGAGTGGCAATATTTGACCCTACATCCTGTAGTACACACTGGATCTGCACAGAACAGAGAAGTATACAGGCACTTAAGCCAAGCAAAATATAAACCAAGTGCCATTTGCGTGAAAACATTTCAAATCTGAGGTCAAATGACTTTGTACATCCAATAAAATCAACTTGATAACGGCTGGTTTAAAAAAGGAATTCTGTGGAAAGTCCTAGAATAATTTATTTGCAGATTTTGTATAAAAGCAATAAAATGTACGCTTTTTTGAGAGTGACTTAAGTTTTCAAATGCTTTCAGGGCCACTGTAGTAAAATGAATAATCCACCTAAAATGGATTAGATTACAAAAGGTGTAGATGAGTTTGTTTCTTTATCAGGGACAGACGTGGGGTAATATAGCATTCCATCACTTGCTCACTAATGGATCCTCTGCAGTGAATGGGTGCCGTCAGAATGACAGTCCAAACAGCTGATGAAAAAAATGAAGTGATGCAAGTGATGTAATGCTAAATTTAAAAAACAAACAAACACTAGCTTTCTATTTTTTCTATTCTATCTACTTGTTTTTCTTTGTGTGTGTGTTTGTGTGTGTGTGTGTGTATATGTGTGTGTGTATAAGATATATATATATATATATATATATACATATATGTGTGTGTGTGTGTGTGTGTATATATACACTGTATATATATATGTACTGTATGTGTGTGTATGTATAGATGCATGTATGTGTGTGTGTATATATATATATATATATGTATGTGTGTGTATGTATGTGCGTGTGTATATATATATGTATGTGTGTGTATGTATGTATGTGTATATACAGTGGTGTAAAAAGGTTTTTGCCCCCTTCCTGTTTTTTTTAATTTTTGCACATTTGTCACACTTAAAAGATTCAGATCATCAAACTAAATGTGAAAGACTCATTTCCAGTTATCGCAAACACTTGATTGCAGCTATTGCTGCAAAGAGTGGCACAACCAGTTATTAGATTTAGGGGCAATTACTTTTTCACATAGTGCCAGGCAGGTTTGGACAGCTTTTCTTCCCTTAATAAAAGAAATCATCATTTAAAAACAGCATTTTGCATTTACTTGCATTCTTTGTGTAATATTAAAATGTGTTTGATCTGAATCTTTTAAGTGTGACAAATATGTAAAAAAGAGGAAGGGGCAAAAACCTTTTCACACCTGTGTGTGTGTGTGTGTATACACACCTTGCTACGTGTACTGTGTTAGGCTAACCGAGACTTGTCATTTGCACTTATATATTGTTGCTCTTTTAGTTTTGACTGCTTTTATTGTCCTCATCTGTAAGTCGCTTTGGATAAAAGCATCTGCTAAATGTCTCCAAATCCGTTTCAATGAAGAAACCAACTCATCCACATCTTAAATGGCCTAAGGGTGAGTACATTTAAATGGTCAACTATTTCTTTACAATCATGCTCCTCTTGTCAGAAAGAGACAAGTACCTTCTCCAGCTGATCAGTGAATGACTGGCCTCTGTCAATGCAAAATTCTCTGGCTAACCTGAAAGAGAGAACCAGAGACTTTTTTTTTGTTGTTGCTGGAAATGAACTCCAATCAGGATTTGTCATTTGACCCACACACCACGCTACATTAACTCGATCCATTACCCAATTGCTGATGATAATTCATCTGTTGTTCCCAAAGCGTCAAATATATGATCCTCCTTTGGTCTCCTCTCACCTGTGAAGGTGCTGGAAAAACCTAATGAGGCGACACATTCAAAACAAAACCTCACACTTCCAGTTTGACATGCAACACATGCTAGTCAATAATCACGTGTGTGGTATGACATTAAATGACCTTTGTCTCCGGTTTTTGTGTAGATCTTGGGAATTCGTCTGTTTTCTTCAGATGTGCTGTTATACCTTAGAAAATCGAGAGAACATCGGTGAGACATTTTTCTAAAACAAACGCCACACTGATACAGTTTAGCCTGAACACATGGGATTCTACATGCTTTTTTTTACCTTCTTTCATCCCTACACAAAGGCTGCATCTGCTTTATGCTCACATATGTCCCTAGACGAAGGACACGGTGAAGACCAGTGTACTTGGGCACGAAAAACAACATCGTAGACGTTAAAACATTTCCAAACGCGCTTCTGTGTTTACTATTAACCGTTTTGACAGCTCTTGCTGCCCGTAGACTGGCGTTCTATCGCGCAACTGAAGACGCGATGTGGTGCGAAATGCGATTGGTGTTTTGAGAGGCGATGGCTATGAGAGCTTCGTCCTGATTGGTTGGTTTAGAGGCAGCGATCTGAGAGGTTAACTCTGATTGGCTCAGGCTACAGCGACAGTCCGCGTGTATGGCAGAGCACAAGCAGGACGCGATGCGTTGGATGCTCTACAACGACAGGAGTTCTCGAATATTTGGCAAAACTTATTATTCTTTAAAAGTTATTTGAGACTGCATGTGTAGCGCGCTGAATTGAGCTTGGTGGATGAATAGAAATATGAGATTTTAGCAAGGCTTTATTGCATTGGTCAGCATACACTGATACAATTTCTCGAAAATATCGTACACATCTGAAGTTCAGAAGCTGTAATAATAATAATAATTAAGATGCAAGCACGAGAGTTGTTCGTTTCTGCCCCAGGGAAAGTCATTCTGCACGGTGAGCATTCTGTCGTGCATGGAAAGGTGGGTGTTTAGTCATTAGAGACCCAAACACTGACTTGATTAAGTGATGAGTTTTCCCTTTACCTCCATTACAATATTTTAGTAAAAATCATAGTAGTGAAGCATATTTAGCTTAGGATTTTGGATAAACTGCTAAATATTTTAAAATTGGTAAATTTTAAAATCTGCCAAAGATTTAAAGTCCGGAAAATTATTTTGGGTATATCAAATTTTTATGAAATCGAATAATTTCTGTTTATGTAAATATTTAATATTTCTGTAGTATGTAGTTTTTTTTTTTTTTAATGTATAGTTTTCCATGTAGGTTGACATTTTTGTGAGAGGTAATTTATCACCACTTACAGGTCAAGAGGTAGAAATCATATGGTAAAAATGGTATCAGTTTTATTTTTTAGGAATCTCCATTCAATATGTAATTTTTTTTTTTTTCTTGTCAGAACTGTTGCTGTGTCGTAGTTCACAGTGTCAGCTGCCGTTCTTTTTATTATTATTTTTTTAACCAATAGTTATTTAATTGCTTAATCAATTGTTCTAAAGTCTGTTGTCTGTTCTTAATCAACCTTAAACAGGTCGCTTTGGCTGTGAGTTTGAACCTGCGCACGTTCCTGCGGCTGCAGTCCACATCATCCGGTGAAGTGCACATCAACCTCCCCAATATTGACACTTTTCTGTCCTGGGACATAACTGCACTGCAGCCTCTTCTGGCAGGGTGTAAAGGTGAGGAGAGGTGGATGTTTGTCTGTCAGTATTTACTCCTGTATATTCTGTGTGTCATTGTTATTTGGACTGTTCATTTGTAATAATGCAGTGTCGGACCGCAATCATCTCCGGCCCATGTTTCTGTGACTGTTCGTTGTTTCAGCAGAGCAGGGTGGCCTGAAGGAACTTGATGCAGATCTTTTGAAGAGACTGCGTGAATTCACAGGGATTTCGGAGGATTCCACAGACACAAGAAGCATGGCAGTGTTGGCCTTCCTCTATATGTACCTGTCTGTTTTTGCAGAGTAAGAACACCATTAAACTCTCTGTATCATTTATTAAAGCTGCATATGAACATTGTTGTAATATGGACTTTTGGCATTTGCTGTTTTGTTTTTCCAGGTCTCTAGCCAGTATCACGGTGTCCGTGTGGTCAGAGTTGCCCACAGGAGCTGGTTTAGGCTCCAGTGCTGCCTATAATGTTTGTCTGTCTGCCGCTCTGCTGTCTGCTAGAGGAAACCTATCATATCCTCTTACACCACAGCAGGAGTCGGCCAGGTAACACTTCATTACAATGGATTATAGGGCTTTTATGTAGATAATGTAAGTAAGGATTGTTTCATTTGCTTTTAACTCTCTTTAAAATTGAGGTACAGAATTATTATAGGGAGTGCCCTCCTGAAACAACCTGCAGCCTTTTGGTTACCAGCCCAGATTGCTAGCAATAAGGTTACCCCACTTGAAAGAGCAACACCCCTTCTGATTCAGATGATAGGCTGTTTTGTTTTTCCAGGTCTCTAGCCAGTATCACGGTGTCCGTGTGGTCAGAGTTGCCCACAGGAGCTGGTTTAGGCTCCAGTGCTGCCTATAATGTTTGTCTGTCTGCCGCTCTGCTGTCTGCTAGAGGAAACCTATCATATCCTCTTACACCACAGCAGGAGTCAGCCAGGTAACACTTCATTACAATGGATTATAGGGCTTTTATGTAGATTAAGTAAGGATTGTTTCATTTGCTTTTAACTCTCTTTAAAATTGAGGTACAGACAATTATTATAGGGAGTGCCCTCCTGAAACAACCTGCAGCCTTTTGGTTACCAGCCCAGATTGCTAGCAATAAGGTTACCCCACTTGAAACGGCAACACCCCTTCTGATTCAGATGATAGATTAAAGGGATAGTTCACCCAAAAATTAAAATTTAATGTTTATCTGCTTACCCCCAGGGCATCCAAGATGTAGGTGACTTTGTTTCTTCAGTAGAACACAAACGAAGATTTTTAACTCCAACCGTTGCAGTCTGTCAGTCATATAATGGAAGTGAATGGGAATCACGGCTTTGGGAGTCAAAAAAACATACACAAACAAAACCAAATTAAACCCTGCGGCTCGTGATGATACATCGATGTGTAAACACACGAAGCGATCGGTCTGTGTAAGAAACTGAACAGTATTTCGATCGTTTTTTTACCTCTGATGCACTGCAATGTCCAAACTGTCCTGAGCGCGTTCTCAACAGCCGGCGTGTGACACATTGTTGTCGTCGTCTTCTTGCTAGAGATGTTACGTTCGTGAACGAATCGTTCTTTTTGAACGAATCTTTTAGGTGAATGAATCGTTCTCATTCACTGAAATTCCTCCCTCCAGAGCAGCGCGGCGTTATTAGCAGTGCATGCGTGAACCGGGTAGCTCTGTGTACGGTTTCATCCTGTCAAAGAATGATTAAACCTCGAGCCAATAGCCTTCGAGCACGAAGCATGTGATTTGTTGAATGTAGTGAACGAATATGCCCTTTACTGAACGAGTTTCTTTTGAGTCTGAACGAGAGAGATCTTCTGAACGAAATGACCGAACTGGTACATGTTGTTCGTGAATGAGAGTGTACCGGGTCAGTCGGCCATTTAGCATGCGAGTCAATCTCGATCAGCAATCAGCAGAAAGCAGATGCAAAGCGCAGTTATAGGTACTGTGCACATACGCTTGTTTATATATTCGTATTTAGCATACAGAACATAACTCCACGTTTAAACCCAGATTTATGAATGTGTAAATGTCTGACCAAACAATTAAAATGTTAATTATGCAAGAAAAACTTGTGCTTTGGTTATCTGAACAACTTATTTAGAATTTATTTATTTATGAGTAGATTATGCACACATTATAATAAAGCCAAATCACTAAGTATATACGTTCGTAACACAAGACACTCTTTTTCGCGACCTGCTGGTGTATTTATGTAATATGAAGAAATGGTCACTGAACGAATCTGAACTAATCATTTTGGTGAACGACCTGAAAATGAACGAATCTCTTGAAAGAATCAATTTTTACCACTACTTCTACAATTAAAATGTTAATTATGCAAGAAAAACTTGTGCTTTGGTTATCTGAACAACTTATTTAGAATTTATTTAATGAGTAGATTATGCACACATTATAATAAAGCCAAATCACAATGGTCTATTTGAGAGATAGGTGGCGGTAATGCACTTATAAGTCTGCAATCTGCCGTAAAGCAAGAAGACACAAACGAGCTCAGGACAGTTTGGACATTGCGGTGATTCAGAGGTAAAAAAAACGATATAAATACTTTTCAGTTTCTTGCACAGACCGATCGTTTCGTGTCTTTACACATCAATGTATCGTCACGAGCTGCAGGGTTTAATTTTGGTTTTGTTTGTGTATGTTTTTTTTACTCTCAAAGCCGTGATTCCCATTCACTTCCATTATATGACTGACAGACTGCAACGGTTTGTGTTAAAAATCTTTGTTTGTGTTCTACTGAAGAAACAAAGTCACCTACATCTTGGATGCCCTGGGGGTAAGCAGATAAACATCACATTTTCATTTTTGGGTGAACTGTCCCTTTAAGTAACCAAGGAACAGAGATGAAGTCTTTGTCCTTCGTCTGTCTTCTGAAAATTTGAAAATGTGTGGTTCAAAATACACTTTCCAGAGGAAATAAGGATCAAAAGGCATAACATTTAGAATTGCTCTGCTGGTCACACTCAATCACATTTAGCTGCAGTGTTTCTGCAGGTAATCACCTTTATTATTTTTTCTGTCCTCTTCCTACATTATTGTTCAATAAAAATGGCTAAAAATAAGGGGGGAAAACACAAGGATTTTAATAGGTCTTTTTTTTTTTTTTCACCAATGATGATTTTATTTGAACAAAACACAAATAAAAACACACATTTTGAAATATTATTACTTTTTATAATAACTTTTTTTCTATTTTAAAAAAAAATTTAATTTATTGAACAAAGCTACATTGTTAGCAATGCTGCTTAATATTTTTGTGGAAACCATTATGCATTTTTTTTCAAGATTCTCTGATGAATAGAAAGTTCTAAAACAAAGATTTGTTCTATTACTATTTATTACTAGCATTTATTTTTTTTATTACTTTTTTTTTTCTTTCTTTTTTTTTGAGGCTATAGGCAGTCTACCTGTTAACTGTATTAGTATTAAGGTAATTGAGAATCTTTCGTCTGTTGGTGTTGCAGGTGGAGTAAAGAGGAGATGGAGCTGATTAACAGGTGGGCGTTCATGGGTGAGAAGATCATCCACGGTAACCCTTCAGGGGTGGACAATGCTGTGTGCACATGGGGTAAAAGTCAATCTTATACATTCATGGTTCTGCTTCATTTTATTTATTTATTATGACATTTATGCTTCATCACTTTATGCTTTTTACAACAGGTGGCTTTTTAAGATACCATGCTGGGAATATAACTCCACTAAGCTGGTAAAACTATACTCTGCAAAAAATATTTTCACAATATATTTTGTCATTATTAAAGTTCCTGTTCATCAGAAAAGTAGATAAAGTTGTCAGTTCAGTGAAATGACAGAACCAGCAGAATTTTCTAAGTGTGTTATTGGGTTCATTTCCTCCCTAGGGTCCCCATTCTGAGAATCCTTCTCACTAACACCAAAGTACCACGTAGCACCAAAGTGCTTGTTTCTGGAGTGAAGGACAAAATGAACAAGGTAGTAAATGGCTCCCCTCACCCCCCCCTTCCATTTTTTTTATTCCTGTGCCCTTCAATTAGCATAATGGCCGGTGTGTGTGAGGGAGGAACACTCTAGGGGCCCGGTGCTGAGTGCCTTTTATAAGAGCTCCAAATGAAACACTGTGCCAACGCTCCTGTGCTCCGTTACCTTGACAACGGCAGCAGGTAGCCTCACTGCTGGCACATCCTGATTGGTGAAGTGGAATTCCGGAATTATCGGGACGGAAAAGAGCAAAAAGCCAGGGCAGACTTTAAAGGGGTCATATTCTACACTTTTGTGGAATTAGTCAAAGCAGTAAGTCATAAACAATTGAGATTTAGTTTTACTGTTTCCACCCTCTTTTAGGCTGATGATACACGGGGCAACTTTTTTTGAGCAATGTTGCTTGGGCACTTTCCCATTGAGAATGGGTAACAAATTTCTATCTGGATACTTTAGATCGGTCGTTGGCCCTGTGTCTCACCTGGTTGCCCATTGATGGCAACATTGCATTTTGAAATATTATTACTTTTTATAATAACTTTTTTTCTATTTAAAATTTTTTTTTTAATTTATTGAACAAAGCTACATTGTTAGCAATGCTGCTTAATATTTTTGTGGAAACCATTATGCATTTTTTTTCAAGATTCTCTGATGAATAGAAAGTTCTAAAACAAAGATTTGTTCTATTACTATTTATTACTAGCATTTATTTTTTTTATTACTTTTTTTTTTCTTTCTTTTTTTTTGAGGCTATAGGCAGTCTACCTGTTAACTGTATTAGTATTAAGGTAATTGAGAATCTTTCGTCTGTTGGTGTTGCAGGTGGAGTAAAGAGGAGATGGAGCTGATTAACAGGTGGGCGTTCATGGGTGAGAAGATCATCCACGGTAACCCTTCAGGGGTGGACAATGCTGTGTGCACATGGGGTAAAAGTCAATCTTATACATTCATGGTTCTGCTTCATTTTATTTATTTATTATGACATTTATGCTTCATCACTTTATGCTTTTTACAACAGGTGGCTTTTTAAGATACCATGCTGGGAATATAACTCCACTAAGCTGGTAAAACTATACTCTGCAAAAAATATTTTCACAATATATTTTGTCATTATTAAAGTTCCTGTTCATCAGAAAAGTAGATAAAGTTGTCAGTTCAGTGAAATGACAGAACCAGCAGAATTTTCTAAGTGTGTTATTGGGTTCATTTCCTCCCTAGGGTCCCCATTCTGAGAATCCTTCTCACTAACACCAAAGTACCACGTAGCACCAAAGTGCTTGTTTCTGGAGTGAAGGACAAAATGAACAAGGTAGTAAATGGCTCCCCTCACCCCCCCCCTTCCATTTTTTTATTCCTGTGCCCTTCAATTAGCATAATGGCCGGTGTGTGTGAGGGAGGAACACTCTAGGGGCCCGGTGCTGAGTGCCTTTTATAAGAGCTCCAAAATGAAACACTGCCAACGCTCCTGTGCTCCGTTACCTTGACAACGGCAGCAGGTAGCCTCACTGCTGGCACATCCTGATTGGTGAAGTGGAATTCCGGAATTATCGGGACGGAAAAAAGCAAAAAGCCAGGGCAGACTTTAAAGGGGTCATATTCTACACTTTTGTGGAATTAGTCAAAGCAGTAAGTCATAAACAATTGAGATTTAGTTTTACTGTTTCCACCCTCTTTTAGGCTGATGATACACGGGGCAACTTTTTTTGAGCAATGTTGCTTGGGCACTTTCCCATTGAGAATGGGTAACAAATTTCTATCTGGATACTTTAGATCGGTCGTTGGCCCTGTGTCTCACCTGGTTGCCTATTGATGGCAACATTGCTCAAAAAGTTGCCCTGTGTATCATCAGCCTCAGAATTTGCTTTAAAGGAATGGTTAAAAAATCATTACTCCCACACTTTCCTCCTTCCGTGGAACACAAAAGGAGATGATTTAAAGTATATCCAGTTGATTAATTCAGTATGATGGCATTACATCTTGCTTTAACCTAACACTTAGTACAGCACCCAAGAGTGTCAGCAAAAAATGGTAATTTAAAATTTTTTACAAAATCAAGGCGGATACAGACCTCATTGATTCAGTTCAGAGTTGAGAAATATCAATATCATGGATGGATGAATGCAAACAAAAATTTGACATAGTACAATTTGAGTAGCAGATGTACGGTGATATCTTGCTTTTCTAAGGCTGACAATTATAAATATCTTTTGATGTGACAAGCTTAAGCGGATCATTTTTCTTGTTTGTACAGTATCTGTATTCTGTCCTCATAGTCCTTTGTGCTGTTACTTTGCAGTTTCCCTCCGTAATGAAGCCAGTTCTGGAGTCCGTCAGCGCTGTGTCCTGCGCCTGTGAACAGACTCTCACAGAGATGGCCGCGCATGGACCTTCAGCTGAGCTCTACAACATACTGGAGGTACAATCACACGGCTTTTCCTTCATAGAGAAGGTGATACCTTTAGCAGTGTGCAGTAGGTGTATATTATTTATCATTTGTGCCAGACATTTGTTTTAAATTTTTGCCACAATTTTTTGTCTAAGACACATTTTCAGGATCGTAATGATTTCTGTCATGATAGGGGAAAATTAGCAGTTGCTTTTGCGATTTTAGTACTGTTAAAAAGTTTGGGATTGATCCAGTTTTTAAAATGTGTTTTTTTTTTATTAAGGAATTTCTTATTCTCACCAAGGCTTTATGTGACCCTGGAGCACACAACCAGTTTTTTTTAAGTCGCTGGGGTATATTTGTAGCAATAGCCAAAAAAAACATTGTATGGGTCAAAATTATCGATTTTTCTTTTATGCCAAAAATCATTAGGATATTAAGTAAAGATCATGTTCCATGAAGTTATTTTGTACATTTCCTACAGTAAATATATCAAAACTTAATTTGTGATTAGTAATATGCATTGCTACTTCATTTGGACAACTTTAAAGGCGATTTTCTCAATATTTAGATTTTTTTTTTACAGGATTATTTGATGAATACAACATTCAAAAGAACAGCATTTTCTTGAAATATATATATTTATAAGTCTGTACTGTCACTTTTGATCAATTTAATGCATCCTTACTAAAGTACTAATATATTAATAGTTTGACTCCAAACTTTTTAACAGTTATGTATTATATATTTAAATATTCAGTTCTTTTTGTTGTAAGAAAAAAGTTATACTGTATTTATTATGACAATTTTTTGCAACTACATTTCAATATCGTGATAATAATGTATACCGTGATAAAAGCATTAGCAATTAATTGCAACATGAAAATTTGATACCTAGTCATACTGTACAATCTGACTCATGTCTATCATGTTTGGGACAAACAGAAAAGGTTGTGTAGTGAACACCCTGTATCAAAACTAATGTTACACAAGAGCAAAGATGCTATTCTGGTGTGGGACACATGGCCTAGTAGTTTGCACATTTACTCGTTGATTTGTGGCGTGCATAAGGGAGATGCAAGGTTGAATCTATCTGTCTCTGCCCGTAATTTTCTGTCCTCCCTTGACTTTCATTTAAATAAAAAGTGGCAAAAGAGCAAAGAAATGATCAATATTTTTATTCGGAGGAAGCCCTGATGGATGGATGCATGGATGGATTATATTGATCTTTTCCAAGACATTTCTCTGTGTGTCATTTGTCTCCAGGAGCTGATTGATATAAACCAGCACCATCTGAACGTGATGGGTGTGGGTCACTCGTCTCTGGACACACTGTGTAGGGTCACTCTGGCCAGAGGCCTGCATAGCAAACTGACTGGGGCAGGAGGAGGAGGCTGTGGAATCACTCTCCTACGACCAGGTACCAATGCACACATCAGAGTAAAAAAATGATTTTTTTAACAATATATTTATCTCAAAGATATGACTGGTGCTTGACCTCTCAAACATTACTGGCTTGATGCTAGAGTTTTGTTGGTGGTTACTAGAGCATTGTAATGCATTTGTGTGGACAGATGACTCCTGGTTTATTCAAATGGTACCAATCGTTGTTGTTTTTGTATGAAATGTCTTCCTGGAACCCTACAGTGTATATTTTGGATATGCTACCTGTGGTTAATCAGTCTGATTGCTGTGCATTGTTTGAAAAGTCTCCATGAGGGTGGCACCCTGCAGACTGCGTGACTGTTTAGCGGGATTCGTGAGGTGAATCTCGCTTGTCACTTTTGTCTGACAAAGCTAACAACTTGACACAGCAGCTGTCAGACTGGGCCACACTCTTTGTTTATGCCTGAAGCCACTAACGCATTGAATTTTAATCAGGATCTTAGAACCCTCAAAAACAGCCTCCAATAAAGCAGACACAACGCTGGAAGGAGCCGGGCAACGTTTATGATGCCTAACAACTTGAGTATGTGTCATTGTCATTTCTAGGCACACCTTGTTAAGGCTGAATTAAGATTTGAGGTAAAGTCCTCTTGCTCGTTTAATTTGCAAACAGAATTGGTCTTACTCCAAGTGTGTCCTGTCGTTCTTGTACCTCAGCATTATTTAAACCAAAATTGGATTCCTGCCTGTCAAAAAAGACATTGAATTCTTACTTCACTTGATACGGCAAGTGGTCTATTTTTGTATTTTGCATGTAAAATCGCACCTAGTTTCATCTTCTAAAACTCCAGAGGAACAGTATCAGCCACCTTGTGATGCGCACACACACACACACACACACTGATTCTTGGGTTTCATGTTTGAGGGTTTGGCAGATTGTCAGACCACCTGCATATGGTCAGTGATCCTGACACAAACAAATGTGTTTCAATGTTGCGTATAAAGTATGTTAAGATGTGACGTACAAATAAGTTTTCATCTGAACCAAGTTTGTTTCCTGAACAATTTCACATGCTCCTGCCGATGAGTTGTGCTGTTTATGCGAGTGACACAAATGCAAATCCAATCCAATATAATATATTATAAATACCTTTTAGAAGTTTGGGGTTGATAATGTTTTTAAAAGAAGTCTCTTATACTCACCAAGGTTGCATTTATTTGATCAAAAATACAGTAAAAACAGTGATAGTGAAATAATAAAATTTTACAAAACTGAATTCTATTTTAATACAGTATATGTTCAAATGTAATTTAGGCTGAATTTTTAGCAACCAGTCACATGATCCTTCAGAAACATTCCAATTTGATGCTTAAGAAACAGTTCTTACTATCGGTGTTAACAGTTGTGGAGCTTAATATTTACGTAGAAACCGTGATGCACTTATAAATGCTTTTACGGTTTCCTTGGGTCAATTTAATATGTCCTTGCTGAATAAAAGTATTAATTTCTTAAACAATTTACCAGCCATTTTTGGTTATATTATGTTTTGTAGATGCAGAAATGACACATTTACACAATTTAGCTTTAACTCCATGGCGCACCTGTTTCATTGAGTGTAATTTTTCTAGGCCTTGGTGTTGATGGGGATGTTTTTTTCCTTTTTGTTTACAGTGCACTTATAAATGCTTTTACGGTTTCCTTGGGTCAATTTAATATGTCCTTGCTGAATAAAAGTATTAATTTCTTAAACAATTTACCAGCCATTTTTGGTTATATTATGTTTTGTAGATGCAGAAATGACACATTTACACAATTTAGCTTTAACTCCATGGCGCACCTGTTTCATTGAGTGTAATTTTTCTAGGCCTTGGTGTTGATGGGGATGTTTTTTTTCCTTTTTGTTTACAGAAACAGATACTTCAGTGATTCAGAGCACTGTTGAGGAGCTGAAGGCCTGTGGCTTTGACTGCTGGGAGACCAGCATCGGAGCTCCTGGAGTCCAGCAGCACTCTTCAGCTGCACTCAGTCAGGACAAATAACATCTAATAAATTTCAGCCTTTTTCATGAAAAGCTGTCATGCACAATATGATTATTTCCTGGCCTGTCTGTGTATTCAAATGTAGTACAATCATCTCATTTGCCAAAATGTTTCTCAACACGGATCACATTTCCGACCAGAACTAACACAGCTTGGAGCATTTTGGACTGAGTACAGCCGTTGTATTATTGTCACTAAACCCAAAGTAATTACTTTTCAGTTCTTTGCACTTTGTCAGAATATTTTGCACCGGAACAGTTTTGAAGCCAAGGAGGGGATGCTGGGATGCATTTGGCTGTCGACCAGACACAGTTCAAGTTGATCTGTGAAGCGCGGTGATGAAATAAACGCTTTGCACTTAGAGCGGAGCACATTTCCCCACAGTCCCAGGAGAGGGGTGTAATTTTAGTGGTGTTTTGTGAGGAACAGATAAAGAGGGCTATCTTCAGCACACGAGACCTGGAGCTAGAGAATAGGAAATGGATTTGCACTGAGATGAATATGTTCCTGTAAACCAAAGGCCGGCAGGAGTACAGAGCCCCTTACGCTTGAACAAGTCAACTTTGAGAAGACCTAGGGAGGTCAGAGACGCATTTAAAAGTGAGTGTTGTTGGTTTTGTAAATGTGAAGCTCTCAGTGTACTTGATTAAGGTGCATAACCATCATTTCGGAAGTAAAGAACCTGACTTTCATTGGATATTTTTGGTTTAACATTCTCTTCAAGAGCTTAAACATGACTTTTAACGATGATGTTGTTGAACATGTTTACCTGTTGTGTGCAGGATGCATCTCAGTTTGATTATTTTGCTTGCTTCTTTCTGCACTGATGAATAGATTCTAAGGATGGCCTGACATTATTTCAGATAACAGGCAGCTAAGAAAAGGGGTCAAGGATGGAGGGAAACGGCAGAGCTATTGAAATATAATAAAACAAGAATTCAGGCCTTTACCATTTTATTCTGTTTGTCTGTTGCCAGCTGAAATGATTTCTCCCCTTCCGTATGTTCCTTTAACCAAAGTTCAAGAGTGACGGTTCAAGTAATGAGTAAATGTGAGGACATGTGTTTTTATTCCTCTTTTCTCTGGGCATGTGAGCATTGTGTGGTGCTGTTGGGACTCATTCTCTGCAGGGATGTGACACTGTGCGTGATGGATATGAACTCTGCGTTTGTCTGGGTGACACTCTAAACAGATCATAGCAGAAGAGCACGGATAAAAGCCAGCGACTGGCCAGCTGTGTGAGTGTCTTCTCAGCAGGCTTTGCCTTTGATACCACTTTTACAGGAAAAGTAACATTCATCACCCCTCTTTATTTTACTGTCCTTTCGTCTTTCCATTAATTTCCTTCTCCTTTTTCCTGTCCTGTCATCGCTCCTGCCGTTGTCATCTTACCTTTCTTTTCCATTTCTCATTTTCTGCTCTTTTCCTAATTCCTTTTATTATTTAATTGTTGTTGTTTCCTTCTCCTTCCCTGTTCCCCTTTCCTGTTCATATTTAGTCCTTTTCTTCTTTCCTTTTCTTTCTGTTCTGATCCTTTCCATTTACTTTTCCTTTTTATTTATTTTCCTGTCCTGTTATTTCCTTCTTCCCCTTCATTTTTTGTCATTTTTGTTTTTCTTTCACTTCCCTTATTTTCTTTTATGATCCTTTCCATTTCCTTTTTCCTACCTTTTCGTCTTTCCATTTCCTTTTCCCATTCCTCTTTCCTGTTATTTTCCCCTTTTCAGTTTCAGAATTTGTCTTTTTTCTTTTCCTCTCCTCTCCTCTAATTCCCCCCCTCTTCTTTCTATACCCTTTTTATTCTGATTCATTTTAATCTTTCCTTTTTCCTGTTCCCATTTTTTCATTTCCTTTTTCCTCTCCTTCTTTTTCCTGTCCTGTTATTTTCCCCTTTCCTTTTAATGTTTTTGTCATTTTCTTCTTTCCTTTCCACCTCCTTCCCCTTCTTTTCCTATTTTTCTTTCTTCTTTTTTTATCCTTTCCCGTTCTTCTTTCATTTCCTTTTCCTCTTTTTTTCCCTGCCCTATTATTTCCCCCTTTCCTTTTCATAATTTGCCCTTATTTCTGATTCTTTCCTTTTCATTTCTCATTTCTTGTCCTTTTCCTGATACATTATTTCCCTTCCCTTCCCTTCCCTTCCCTTCCCTTCCCTTCCCTTCCCTTGTTCTGTAATGCAAATGTGAAATAAAAATAAGTTATTTTGAGTTTTTTTGTGACTCGTGTTTCATGGGACTCATAACCAAGCGCCCCTGTAATCAATATTTGTTTGAAAAGCAATAAAAGCTATTGCCGTTATATTGCCACTAGTGTAGAGCTACAAACTGCAGTGAATTTGTATGTATAGGTATGTTTTTGGAGTTTTGCAAAAATGTAGTTAGAGTTTTTTCAACGAGTCTGTGTTGCATAAAGTTGTGTCATGCTTACGGTCCTTACGGTTGGTGTTTATATGTACGCAATTGCATCTAGCTGAAAATGACTTACCAGCAATAAAAAGAAATGCTGTGCAGCTGCACCCTTTCATTTATCTGAACAAAAAAGTTGGCTGTTGTGAGCAATATTAGCCTAAAGAGCATGTACGGATGCATGGAAAAAGCATCCAGGCAGCTTTGAAATAGTGATTTGGGATGCACTAATTCTTAATATGTTAATTTCACCTGTTTAAAATGCATAATACAGTATGTGAATTGGGATGCAGAGTCCGTTTGGAGTAATTCACCTCCGATGACGAGTCTGCACTCTGGGCCACATGATCATCACAGCCTCACCTTTACTCCCGAGCGCCATTCCCTTTCATCTATTGTGTCCTCTGTCTTCTCTGGACTCTCTGGCTGTCTGGGGTGCGACCCTGCGGAAGTCACTGCCTTCTCCCTGACAGTCCATCACTGCACGGTGCTGCCAGAGCAGGATTCTACCCGCCGGAGACAGAGTGGGATTGGGAGGAGTGTGAGAATGGCCCTGTCACACTCGATAAGCCGGCAGGACGCCCTGAGATGGGGACATATGGCATGTTTGACAGGGAAAGAGAGGGTGTGAATGGCACAGAATGATAAAATGGTGTTTTTTCCCCCTTTGGCAATGCCATGCTTTCAGGGAAGAGAGGCGTGCAGAGGGGCTGACCGCTATTCAGTCAGGCGCAAGACCGACTCAAGCCCTCAACTGACATCTCCTTCAAGGTCCTGAGGTTCCCTCTCTCCTCTTTTTTTATCTCACTCTTTTTTTCTGTCTTTCTTCTTCTTCATTCTCTGTCTCCCTGCTGACTGGTGGATTTGAATGGCACACATCACACAAGATCCCATCAAAGCCTGAACTCTCCTAATTGTCACTGGCTGTCAGGTTCAATTATTTCATATCAGGTTAGTGTTAGAACAAAAATGGGCTAAATGAATAAGATCAATGTTAGTCTGCTGTTTTAACCTGCATATTTCTCTTGATATTAACTTTGTCGTAATTTAACCCTGGGGGGGGGGCGCATCAATAGAAAACACTACAAAATAACAGATGGTAGGACTTAACAACTACAGATAATGGTAACGTGTTGAAATTATATACGTATATATATATGTGTGGCAATTAATCGTTTGACAGCACTAAAAATAACATACCACCTGCACTAAACTCTACCATAAACCTAGAGTAATAGTGTTAACAAAAGCAAATGTGAGGTAAAAACGCATTTGCAGAAGCAACCATTACTTTTTATCCTGCTTCTAAAAGCTATTTTATTGGGATTTGTACCAAAGTGCGCCACATCACAAATGTAGTGCTGTACCAAGTGAGCTACAGTGCAAGTTTACTACATGCCATACCACATGAAATCTCCCACTGAAATCATAATTTGTGTGAAAAACATTTTATTTTTGTTTTTACTGCCACTAGTGGTCATTTGTAAACTGCAGTGAATTGTATGCATAGGTAAGTTTTGAGAATTTTTGAAAAATGTAGGTAGAGGCACATTTTTTACCAAACTAAGTTGTTGTTGTTTTTTAATTGTTGTGCTTTTGAGTGTGTGTGTGTGTGTGTGTGTGACTATATATATATAATTTTATTTATAATGGAGGTGGGGGGGGGGGGGGCAATAGGGACTTCGCCTAGGGCGTCAAATTGGCTAGAAACGGCCCTGTGTGTGTGTTCCCTCCAGTCCTGCTCTACCAGCCTGAGACTCCCTGCCTGTTGGTTCCCCAAGGTGGCCTGCCAACCAAGCCTGGTGCTGAGAACCAAATCTCTGATTCTGCCTGCTTTGAGTACCTTCACTCTGCTTGCACGCTCTGCTGTTCTCTGCTCTGGTCTTCTCCCCATCCTTCCGCCCCAGTTTGACCAATGACTGAGACTGTCCCCCAGACTGTCTACCTCTCAGGGCATTAATCTCTCCCTGCTGGTTGGAGCTGTCCCAAGATTTTCCACCCCTGTGCTGTGAACACGCTGTGTGGACACTAAAAATACTATCAAAGACTTTCAAATCTGGGACCACTGGACAACAATTCAAGAATATATTCATAGTTTTTTTTACCAACTGGCCTAAGAGTGCTTTTGAGTGTGTGTGTGTGTGTGTGTGTGTGTGTGTGTGTGTGAGTGAGGGAGGGAGATGGATAAAAAGCACTGCTGTAGAAATCTGCCTGTCCGGTGCCTTTATAATGTATTCCACTATAAGTGTCATTATGTTTCATAACCCAGAAAATAACAAACATTATTTAGTTTTATTACCTTAAAAAAATCATTCATTTAACTACACAATAACTACAAAAATTAGATTAATCACCATTCAAATAGAATTGATTTGCCTCATTTATCCTATATTGTACGTTAGATTATACCACAGGGCTGCCGAATGCTTGATTCTGATTGGTTGACAAATGTTCTAAAGCATGCTGTTATTTTCCAGGAAATGCACAGCTATGACCACGTTAGAGTTTAAAATCAGTGCAACAAATTATTTCAGTTATTTCAAAGAGACTAAAACAACAAAAGAACCAAAACCACTGCCAAACAAGCGTACTGAAATA